CATCAAGTAAAACTGTCAGGGTTACAAACAATACTTAAGAGGCCACTTTCATTCTTCCATGCCCTCACATGCCTTCAAAAAGTATTTCATCATGGAAAACGCTGCCGAGATTTAGGAAGAGAAATTATTCTTGATCCGTCGGCAGAGTGCCAATACAAAGTAGGAGTATGTTCTTTGTGACATACAAAAGCACATTGCGAAGGTCTACTCAGAATGCCCCGAAGGCCAATTCGGGTGAACATTTGTGATGAACGTCTTGTGGGAGTAAGTGGCTGGTTTTTCCAGCCAGGCTAGCAGTGATCATCCAATTAAAGAGGGAAGCCAGGAAGCACCAGTACTCAATGTATCTGGCTTCATTCTGACTACAGGCAGTCCCCAGGTTGCGAGCAAGATAGGTTCTGTAGATTTGTTCCTAAGTTGAATCTACATAAATAAAAATGTAATGTTCGTTTGTGGGATTAACAGAACTCAAAAACCACTGGACGAATGAACACCAAATCTGGACACAAGGCACCTACAGGCCAACAATTAACCATCACTCATAAAAACATTGAAAAACACAACTGAAGAGACTTAAAAAGCCAAAAAAACAAAAAAAATACATTACAACACATGCTCAAAACCACATATATACACAAACACACATATATACACATATACTTAAATATACACACACACATATACTCAAATATATACACACACAAAATTCATATACACAGCCTGGGCCACAGCAACGCGTGGCAGAGGATGGCTAATAAATAATAATAATAATAATAATAATAATAATAATAATAATAATAATATATTTTTGTCGTATCAGGAGCAAGTCGCTTTATATAATAATAATAATAATAATAATAATAATAATAATAATAATAATAGACTCCTAGAGTTCAAAGGGACTCCCAAGGGTCATCGTCTACATAAATAAAAATGTAATGTTCATTTGTGGAATTAACAGAACTCAGAAACCACTGGATGAATGGACACCAAATTTGGACACAATACACCAATCAGGCCAACGAGTGACCATCACTCATAAAAACACTGAAAAACACTGCGGAAGAGACTTAAAAAGCCAAAAAAAAACCCACACACATTACAACGCATGGGCAAAGCCACTCATATATACACATATACACAAATATATACACACACAAAACACATATACACAGCCTGGGCCACAGCAACTTGTGGCAGAGGATGGCTAAATAATAATAATAATAATAATAATAATAATAATAATAATAATAATAATAATGGACTCTTAGAATTCAAAGGGACCCCCAAGGGTCATCTATATAAATAAAAATGTAATGTTCRTTTGTGGGATTAACAGAACTCAGAAACCACTGGACRAATKGACACCAAATTTGGACACAATACACCTATCAGGCCAACRAGTGACCATCACTCATAAAAACACTGAAAAACACTGYGGAAGAGACTTAAAAAGCAMAAAAAAAAAACTACACACATTACAACGCATGCGCAAAGCCACTCATATATACACAGACAAATATATACACACACAAAACACATATACACAGCCTGGGCCACAGCAATGCGTGGCAGAGGATGGCTAATAAATAATAATAATAACAATAACAATAATAACAATAATGGACTCCTAGAATTCAAAGGGACCCCCAAGGGTCATCGTCTATATAAATAAAAATGTAATGTTAGTTTGTGGGATTAACAGGACTCAGAAACCACTGGACAAATTGACACCAAATTTGGACACAATACACCTATCAGGCCAACAAGTGACCATCACTCATAAAAACACTGAAAAACACTGCGGAAGAGGCTTAAAAAGCAAAAAAACCCCCAACATTACAACGCATGCGCAAAGCCACAAATATATACACTGACAAAACACATATACACAACCTGGGCCACAGCAACACGTGGCAGAGGATGGCTAATAAATAATAATCATAATCATAATAATAGACTCCTAGAGTTCAAAGGGACCCCCAAGGGATATCGTCTATATAAATTAAAATGTAATGTTCATTTGTGGGATTAACAGAACTCAGAAACCACTGGACGAATGGACACCAAATTTGGACACAATACACCTATCAGGCCAACGAGTGACGATCACTCATACTGAAAAACACTGCGGAAGAGACTTAAAAAGCAAAAAAACAAACACATTACAATGCATGCACAAAGCCACACATATATACACATATACACATATACATAAATATATACACACACAAAACACATATACATACATATACATACATACACACACACACATATATATAAGCTTTGGATAGCAGATGGCAGGGTTAACACCCCTGTAGTGTTTGTCCATGTTCTTGCTTCCTGTCCCTGTGATACTTGGATTTTGAAAAATTTGGAGTGGAAAAGAAATCCCTAACTGAAAAGAATGGTTAATCAAAATGATAGAAATTAGAAATATAGATAGCTTGACACAACAACTTAGACATAAACAAAGCAAAACAGCAGTAGATTGGAGTTTGTTAACAAAATTTATGGAAAAAGAAAAAATGGAAATTTGGATATAAATGTTATGGGGAGAATAGACTTCATACCCACAACCTCTGAAGAAGATGAGGATTTAGCATATAAGAAGTGCGAAATGGAGAAGACACAACCCAGAAATGAGAAGATGGGAAGCCAAAGCCCCCCCCCTTTCCTTTTCCTCCAAATCCTATTGCCCCCTCCCCTACCACCACCTATCCCTTCACTTTTTTGCACCTTCCCTATTTTATTACCCTTCTCTCCCTTTTGTAAATGAAAAAAAATCATTAAAGAGATTTTTTTTAATTGGCTTGTTGTGAAAACAAGGATGGTGAAAAAGCTTCAGTGGAGACAACTTTTCCCCATGATCACTCTTTCAGGAGTTGATTTCCCTTCTTAAGGGTAGATTTCTCAGACTTCCCGTTGCCTTGCCCCCATCCTTAACTATGAGTCATTTGTAAGTCAGCTGTTTCTATCTTGGGGACTGCCTGTACTTGCCTCATGAAATAGCCTCGCCATTTCTTTGCCTTGGCAAATAGATTTGTTCCAAGGAGGGTTTGCCGTTGCCTTCCTCTGAGGCTAAGAGAATATGATTTACCCTGGAATCGGCAGCCTCAGATCCTGGACAGTTGGATCCAAGACATGACTTTTGAAGCAGCTGCACCTCTCTGCTCTTCCCCTGCCTCTGTGCTTCTTAAATCAAGCACATGGGAATTCTGTATCTCTGCCAAGAGCTCTTGATGATTCAATGTTTATTATTGTTCCAAATTATTTACAGTTACTCACACTCAGAGCTCTCTCTAGACTGAGTGTTAGTAACTGTAAATAAGAGTGAGATCAAGCATATGGTCAGGCCTTTTATCACATTGTACTGCGTGCTTATATCTAAGTTGATACCCCCAGACATGACATCTGTCTTACTTGATCAGAGGTGTTATTCTGGTCCGGCCTCTCTAGGCACTGAGTGATCTGATCTGGCCAGGGTGGTCCACGCCTTAGTCACCTCCAGATTGGATTACTGTAATGCACTCTACGTGGGGCTGCCCTTGAAGACGGCTCGGAAATTTCAATTGGTCCAGCGGGTGGCAGCCAGGTTACTTACTGGGGCGACTAACAGGGAGCGGTCAACCCCCCTGTTTAAGGAGCTCCATTGGCTGCCGTTCATTTTCCGATCCCAATTCAAGGTGCAGGTTTTGACCTACAACGTCCCGAATGGTTTGGGACCTGCCTACCTGCGTGACCGCATTTCTGTGTACGCACCCACACAATCTCTTTGTTCATCTGGGGAGGACCTTCTCTCGCTCCCACCTCCCTCGTGGGGACAAGGGAGAGGGCCTTCTCCATGGTTGCCCCTCGACTCTGGAACTCACTCCCCAAGGATATCAGACAAGCCCCCACATTGGCCGTCTTTAGGAGGAGCCCGTGGCTGTTCCAGTGTGCCTTCCCTGAATGAAGGAAACAATCCCCCTGCAAATACTCTGAGAAGCACTTTAATTACCTGTTGGGTTGCTCTTTACTTTTGATTTAAAACCCTCCAAATAGATACATCCTCTGTTCATGTCCAGCATTTATTTTTAAAGTTTTAACTATTACATTTGGCCCAGCCATAGGTTTTTAAATTCTTGTGTGTTATTGTCTACTGGTGAGTTATATTAATTGTATTGTTTATTTTGTTTATTGCTTGTTATTTTATTATTGCTTGTTGTTTTTGATATGTTGTATGGCTTGGTCTCATGTAAGCCACTTCGAGTCCCTTGGGGAGAGGGTGGCAGGGTATAAATAAAGATTATTATTATTATTATTATTATTATTATTATTTCCAGTGCTGGCGTATAATCAGGGGCGGCTCAACCATTACGCAAAGTAAGCATTTGCAGTATAGTTGATTTTGCCCAGGGGCGCTCTTGAGGCGCTCTTGGGGGAAAATAGACCTTGACATATGCGAGTTGTAGTTACTGGGATGTATAGTTCACCTACAATCAAAGAGCATTCTGAACTCCACCAGTGATGGAATTGAACCAAATATGGCACACAGAACTCCCACGACGAACAGAAAATATATATCAGTGATTGGTTGGGGGGGGGGGGGGGCGCCAAAATACTGTTTGCTTACCATTGAAAATTACCTAGGGCCGCCTCTGGCTACCAGGCACATGTCTTGAGAATGATTTTTTCCTGGCATATAGCTCCAACAATCAATTAATAAAGTCATCCAGTGAGTTTCCATGACAGAGCTGATATTTGAACTCTGGTCTCCAGTCATAGCCCAATGCTCAGACAATTTCTACTTATTCATGAGTAGAAATACTGAATTACTATTACTATACTTTTATTTTATTTGAATTATTGTTTCCCATTTTGGATTAAGTGAGTCCTTAGTTGCAAAGAAGGATTGACATTTCCAAGTTTATTTGCCATCCATCCTAAGCTGGTTAAATTTTTTGGTATTGAGCTGAAGTGACAATAAAAGACTTCATTCTTTTTTCCCCTCAATTTAGAAATTCCTGGACATAAAGGCAGAGAAGATGCTCTAAGTGAAGCTTTTGCAGATCTGAGTGTGCTTCCACAACGGGAACCGAAATGTCCAAGCAATCTCCCACTCTCCACTATGAATACTCGATCCTTCCCATTTACAGCACATAACAGTTCTACTAGGTAACGTACTCAAAGCATGCAGAAAGCATTGAGATATTTGAAGAAGAATGTGACATTTTAGTTATTAGTGCCCTTTAGCATGAGTGGCATGCCATTGTTCTACTATTTAGAGACAGAGGGTGCATCTACACTTAATGCAGTTGGGAAACAATTTAACTGGCATGACACAATGCTGTGGAATCACAGGAGCTTAAAATTGAGTCCCTTCTACAATGCCCTATACCCCATGATCTGATCCCAGATTATCTGCTTTGAACTGAATTATATGTTTCTCTACTTCCAGATAATCTGGGACAAGAAGATAATCTGAGATCAGGTCCTGGGATATAGGGGCAGTGTGGAAGGAGCCTTGGCGAGGTATATTTGGCATAAAGTACACAATGTAGAACTAGTCACCTAGCAATTAAATATACAGTAATTCCTAAATGCATATTACAACAAGGGGGAAAACTTTGAAGGTAGACCCCAATTGTACTAAAAATGTTATAGATTATACTTAATACAGTAGACTCTCAGTTAACCAACACCCATGAGGATTATGAGCTTCTGATGGTTTGGGAATTACTATTAAAAGTAGGCCTAATTACTATACCCCATAGTACAGGGTTAGTCAAAATGAATAGGCCAATAAGAAAATTAATTTTAGACGAATGTATGTTTACTGTAACCAAACCACAGCTACGTAGCGACAGATAAACTATCAAAGTTTTTTTTGAGCAACACACATGTACGTTAATGCCGCTAGGCGTCGCTAGGGGTCGCTGTTTTCAAAATGGCGGAATCAAGCAAAGAGAAGGCGTTTTGTGTGATGACATTTGCTAAAACAATGTCAGTAATTACGGTCCAGCGAGAATTTCGAGCCAAGTATGGCAAGGAACCACCTCATCGACATTCCATTGCGAGGTGGGTAAAGCAATTTGAGGAGACGGGCTGCTTATGCAAGGGTAAAACCACAGGACGACCACGTGTCTCCGAAGACACAGTGGAATCCATTCGTGCATCGTCGGATGTGCTGCAACGGATGTGGAATGAACTGGACTATCGCTTGGACATCTGCCGTGTCACACGGGGCGCCCATATCGAACATCTCTGAAGGTGAGACAAAACTTTGATAGTTTATCTGTCGCTACGTAGCTGTGGTTTGGTTACAATAAACATACATTCGTCTAAAATTAATTTTCTTATTGGCCTATTCATTTTGACTAACCCTGTATATCATAAACTCTGTACTGACTTGAAATGAATATTGAAATGCAATAATTAAAATGCAAATTGAGACAAATAAAGACAAGCCTAACTTGATATAACACAGTTTTACTGTATGATACAAACACTTATTTATTTAAAGTATCATCTATATAAATAAAAATGTAATGTTCGTTTGTGGGATTAACAGAACTCAAAAACCACTGGACGAATTGACACCAAATTTGGACACAAGACACCTAACAACCCAATGTATGTCCTTCACTTTAAAAAAATGATTTTGTCATTTGGGAGTTGTAGTTGCTGGGATTTATAGTTCACCTACAATCAAAGAGCATTCTGAACCCCACCAACGATGGAATTGAACCAAACTTGGCACACAGTTCTCCCATGACCAACAGAAAATACTGGAAGGGTTTGGTGGGCAGTATCCTTTGGTTTTGGAGTTGTAGTTCACCTACATCCAGAGATCACTGTGGACTCAAACAATGATGGATCTGGACCAAACTCTACACGAATACTCAATATGCCCAAATGTGAACACTGGTGGAGTTTGGGGAAAATAGAATCTTGACATTTGGGAGTTGTAGTTGATGGGATTTATAGTTCACCTACAATCACAGAGCATTCTGAACCCCACCAACGATAAATTGGGCCAAACCTCCCACACAGAACCCCCATGTGGGCCACAGCAACGTGTGGCAGGGGATTACTAGTTTCTTCAATATTTTGCTGGTTGCTTGAGAGTTTTTCTGATTACTTGGATTCTGATTAACTGAGAGTCTGTTGTAGTTAAATATGGATTTTAACTGATGTTTTTAGTGTTGTTTGTGTTTAATTCTGTTTTAAGGTTTGTAAATTTGTATAGTTTACATCGTATACTAATGCTTTTATGTCAAGCCACTCGGAATCTCCTTTGGAGAGATAAAGCAGGGCATAAATAAATTATAAAATGCTAAACCAGAATGCTATTATAAAATGCTAAACCAGAATGCTTATTATTATTAATAATAATAATAATAATAATAATAATAATAATAATAATAATAAGCATTCTGGTTTAGCATTTTATAATACAGCCTAGATCACTCATTCCTATTCTGGTTTATAAAAAATATCATTTTCCAATTTAGATGTCATGGGTAGCAGGGTTTTAAAATTATTGATGGAGGCCTATTTACACCTACCATATACATGAAAATAAGCCCCATTGACCTCAATGAGACCTAAATCTGAAGATACCTGTATAACTTTGTACATCAAACTGGAAAAGATAAGTGGAGAGACTAGGAAGGCATGTGACTTGTTCTCGGGCTAAAAAATCATGATTGATTGTACCAAGACTGCTATATCTAAACTTCACATGTATGACACTCCATTTTAAGCTCTTTTTATTAGGTATCAGGTGAATTGATTTCATTGCAATGTGCTTAGAACTCCTGCCCAGTTTTTTTCAAATAAAAACTAGTTAGGTTACAGCATTACTTTAAGGCTATAATCTAAGCTTGAATCTTTGGAAACAAGTTCCCTTGAAAGCAGTGGGAATTAATAACAAGGAATTAACATACTTGCTCTCCTGAGTGGAAGAACTGAACAATATTCTGTGCAACCAGTTTACCGCAGTATATGTAGGTTGGGTTTTTTTTTTGTTTTTTTTTTTAGAATTCTTCATTTCCAATTCTTTAGTGTAACACTCATTGCATGTCGCAGTTCATTGTTAGCTTTTGGGTTCTGATCAGACCAACAGTTCTCCAGAGCTTCTTTTATTTATTTATTTAAAACTTTTATATCCCGATCTTCTCAACCTCCGTAGAGAGACTCAGACCGGCTTACAGCAAGGATTCAATGCTAATAGTACAATCTAAAAACATCATATAATAACGAGTTAAAATACATATCGATTAAAATTACAAATAAGCCAAATCGCCAAGATAAAATCATGTCCAACTCAGTCCGTATGTGTGGTTGATAACTTTGTTCTGTAGCCGGTTTCAACCATTACTCTGGGAATGCTTCCTTCCATAGCCAGGATTTCACCAGCCTCCTGAAGGACAGGAGGGAGAGGTACAGATCTGATCTCAATAGGGAGAGAGTTCCATAGTCGAGGGGCCACCACAGAAAAGGCCCTGTCTCTCGTTCCCGCCAGACATTAATTTAATATCTCGGCTTAATATCTTGTGTGCTGCAGGAGATTGGTTAAGGTTGGCCATCACAATCTGTCCATCTGTAAAACTCTCCACAATATCTGGAGCTACATAACCTTCCTTTCCCTCCAAACTAAGATTAGTGAGCTAGGAAACTTAAACAGATTGTATTTATTTATTTGCTTCATTTGTATACCGCTCTTCTCAGCCCTCAGACTGAAATGTTGGAAATGTTTTTTAATGTAAACCGCTTTGAGTCTCCTAGTAGAGAGAAAAAGCAGGGTATAAAGGAACATAGTCATAACAACAAATATTGTTTCATTATCTGGGTAAAGGCCAGAAGGGGGTGCTAGAGCGAGAAGGATAGTATATTTTACAGGGACAGAGTTGAAGAAGTTAAACAATCCCACCCCCCTGTTTTCCTGTCATTCCCCCCGTCCATGTTGTCATTGTTGAAACAACCGTCATTTAATTATTAATAGTAGTAATAATAATAATAATATAAAACTTTTTTTATGTACCGCTCTATCTCCCCGAGGGCACTCAGGGTGGTTTCCAAGTAACAACATCAAAACCATACAGAGTAAACAACATAAACATAAAATTAACAAAATAACATAAGCATAAAATTATCACAACAACACTATATATTAAAAGTAATCCTACCTGTTCTTTATGCCTATTTGTTAGGGAGAGGGAAAAAAGGATCAGAACAATTTGAAAGGGCCACGTCAAGGTTAGTGCAAAATCAGAATCTGAGGGGCCCGGGGATTGGGTCCAGTGCTATAACAAACTAATAGCAATAGTAGATCCGGGCCTGTGGCTGCTCATTTCCAGGGCCTGTTAGAGGAATAACCAGGGTAATAGGTAGGAAGTACAAGGCCATATTCAGGCAATGTCTGGGGCTGGGCTAGAACTGGTCATTTTCAAAAACTTGTTGAAACAACCAGGTCTTCAAGCTCTTACGAAAAGAGGGGAGGAACATGTCCTATTTCCCTTGGAAGGGCATTCCAGAGGGCCACCCACCCCTGAGAAGGCCCTCTCTCTCTCGTCTTGATATTATGGGTGATATGGCTGTGTGGAAGGGTCCTATGTCAGTGGTTTTTAGTCCAAAATCTGGAGCCCCGGTGGCGCAGTGGGTTAAACCCCTGTGCCGGCAGGACTGAAGACCGACAGGTCGCAAGTTTGAATCCGGGGAGAGGCGGATGAGCTCCCTCTATCAGCTCCAGCTCCTCATGCGGGGACATGAGAGAAGCCTCCCACAAGGATGATAAAACATCAAATCATCCAGGCGTCCCCTGGGCAACGTCCTTGCAGACGGCCAATTCTCTCACACCAGGAGCAACTTGCAGTCACTCCTGACACGACAAAAAAATAGAAAGAGATGCCATCTCGAAGATAGGCGGGGCCCAAATTGTTTTATTTATGAAATGGGAAAGTGCGGGAGCGGGAATAACCAGCAAAAATGGGGGAAATTGTTTTCCTCCTTCAACTCCTCTCCCTTCCATAAAGTAAACTATCCTTCTCTGTCTAGGCCCCCTTTAGGAGTCCACCTGGATAATGGAACAGTACCTAATAACAATAATAATAATAGAGCCTCCAAGCCTCACTCTTTCTTCTTATCACTAGCATCCAAGTGTGTACTACCAT